TTTATATAAGGAGTACTTTATTTTTATTAGAAGGTGGGAGCACTTTGGGTCACACCAGTTGTACTTAGGGCTTACTCCTAGCTTGGGGCTCAGGGGTCATTACTGGAGGCGCAGTGCCAGAGACTAAACTGGCATCTGTCATGTGCAGGGTAAGCTCCTGAATCATCTCTCTAGCCTCAAGGAATACTTTATAATTCTAAGTACCAGACTTTTTGTTGGTGAACCTATATATTGGTTGGTCCTGTCTTATCCCAGTTGGTTGCATTTTCCTTTTGTCATTAATACATACATCTCTCTGTGTGTCTTAAAAAGAGAGACAGGCTTATTTTTCTATTACGTAGTTTCTGTTTTTTAATCTCTGTTCCACCAATAAAACACTGAATTCCTAATTAATGAGACATTTAAATTTTTTGATGTTTTTCAATGTAAATTTTAGAAACAGCTTCTCAGGTTCCACCAAAAAAAATTTAAAAGCAGTCTTGAGAATTGTTACTGAAATTTCAGTATTCTCACCAATTAACATGAGAATTTCTATCTTCAATGAGTCTTGAGAATGTTACATTATTCCTCTCATGTAGGTTTTCTCTTATACCCTTCAGTATAGATTTACAGTTTTTATTTTCTTTACAAAGCTTTTGCATATCCTTTTCAGATTTATTTCATCTTTGTGACTGTTAGAAAATGGATCTCTTATTTCCTTTTCTGGAACAGGTACATTTATTTATTGTTATTATATTTAGGTAACATAGTTTCAATTCGATCATTTTCTTCCAATGGTTTTGAAGAACAAAATTAACTGCAACTTGACCACTACCACCAAAGTGCCTAAGATCCTCCATCACTAGCCTTATGTCACTTCTAGTTTATATCTTCCCTCCTCCATTCTAGTTATACAGAATAACTAGAAGAGTGATCTTTGGTGATGTTTTTCTCCAAAAAACCTGTTAGTATATTGTAGATTTGTTCTTCTAACAATTTTGACATTCATATTACTCATATAGTGAGTGAATTTAAAATTACGATAGCTTTCTTGTGACTTGTTTCCTTTTCATTATTATATAATAGCATAGTCTGGCAAACTTCCCGTGACGTACTCAATATGCCAAATACTAGTAACAATGAAGGGTCTCATCCTCCTAATCCTAAAAGAGCATTGAAATGGCTCTTTTAAAATCTCAGGGCTAGGAAGAAGGAGACGTTACTGGCGCCTGCTCGAGACAATCGACGAACAACAGGATGATCGTGATCGTGATCGATAATAGCATTGAGGGTGGGGAGCGCACATTCAGTGGTACCCTCAGCACTCCTGGTTCTGTGCTCAGGGGATGATATGCAACACCAGGGATTGAGCCGGGGTTGCTGTGTGTAAGGCACGTACCTTAATCTTGGTACTTTATCTCCAGCCCCTATAATAACATTTTAATCCCTAATAAGTTTATAAATATGTTAAGTAAAGTAAGATAGAGAAAGAAAGACAAATACAGGATGATCTCACTTATCTGTGGTATACAGAATAACTAGAATAACTGGACAAGGGAATGCAAGGTATTAAAGGGGGAATAACTCCATCACCCTTGACCCCAGAATATACAAAATAGAAGGACAGAGAGGGAAAGAAATTAAGGGGAAGCAAGAAGAACTGAACAGGAAATAAGGGGTGAGCAGTGGGAAGGCATTAAGTACCTTGGGAACATGGGTGGTGCAGAGTTATATATTTAAATCTTAGTCAGAAACACCGAAAGCAGGATATCCAAACCACAACAACCAAACTTAAAAATGTTCCTGTCAAAGAGGGAGGTTTGGGGGATGGGGTGGCGGACAGGGAGGAAAGGGAGGGAACACGGAGATACTGGCTAAGGGAAGTTGACAACAGTAGTGGGACTGCCGCTGGAACATAGTATGCCTGAAATTCAATTATAAATGACTTTGTAAATCAGAATATTCTAATGAAAAAAATTAATTTAAAAAATATTGAATTTAATTCAATATGTGCCTGACTCAAAAGTTTGTAGGTAAAATGTTATGCTAAATAATCACCCAAAGTGTGGTATTAATTTTAATAATTACTTTGTTACAACATGCTGCTTTTATTATATGCTCAGCAACCTTTGATACTGATCTTTGACGATAAGATAATACAATTATTTTAAATTTTTATTATTAAAAGAGCTTTTTGACATTTTTGTCTAGATACGACTACTATAATAGTAAACCCCAAAACGACACAATGTTGCATCTTTTATCATCTTACTTGTTTTTCCCCTATGAGATTTTGTGATGTAGAATTGGGGAACTGAAATGGGAGAGAGAAAGAAAGTATAATAAAATAATCATTTTTTGTCAGCATCACATCATATAGTACCCCATTTTAGAATCTATAAAATCCCTTTTGGGGGGAGTTTCAGTGGTGCTCGGGGGACCACGTAGTCCCAAGGATGAAACCAGGACTCCCACGTGCAAAGCTTGCACACAAGCTATCACCCACCCATATCAACAGACCCTTAAGTCTCATGGTTGTAAATATTTTACACACATTTTATGAAAGTTCTTCATTTACATTTTGATGGTGCCAGGGATGGAGCCTAGAGTCTCATAATGTGCTCTACTTCTTAGCCAAATTCCCTGTCTGTGAAAGTTCTTTAATGAAAGAACATTAATGAAAAGTTGGAACCTTCTACTTTTGTAGAGTGGAATGTGGCAGCTGCCCTTACCAAATAAAATCAAGCTTTAAAAAAAAAGAAAGAAAGAAAATACTTTTGCATTTTCTCTCTTTAGGGTTAGAAGCAGTTAAATTATCAAGTCATGTAAACTAATACCATTAGCAACTAATAAGGTATTGCACACTTAGATTTTAACACCTTAATGGAGAAGAATAATATATTTAGGTTTCGACAGCTGAGTATATTGAGAACAGTTAGTGTATATGATGCCATCATTTTATATAGTCTTTCAGAAAACTGATTAAATTTCAGTATTTTCCATAAAACTTAACGTTACTTCGTATCATTTGCTAGGGCACTGGCAGAGTTATCAAGTATACCTTTTTACCAACAAAACTGTCCTCAAACAACTTTGCCAAACAAAACTGTCCTCAAACAACTTCTCTTATCTCCTTTCTCTGAAACTTCCAATGCATCTGATTTCACCTCTAATTTTTCCCCAGAACATAAGACGGGTACATGGAAATATGAGCAGTCTTTTGTTGTTTGCTTTAATAGTCCTCATTATCTTCAATCTGTCTGGGTTTAATTCTAAAAGTGATTGTCTATATTTACATAATTCTAGTGCTTTCAATAGCACTGTAGCACTGTCCTCCCGTTGTTCATCGATTTGCTTGAGCAGGCATCAGTAACATCTCCACTGTGAGACTTGTTACTGTTTGTGGCATATCAAATACACCACGGGGAGCTTGCCAGGCTCTGCCATGTGGGCGGGATACTCTCGGGAGCTTGCCGGGCTCTCCAGGAGGGATGGAGGAATCGAACCCGGGTCAGCCGCATGCAAGGCAAACACCCTACCCGCTGTGCTAGTGCTCCAGCAGCCCAGTGCTTTCAATAGGACCATTAAATATATACTCAGTGTTTGGTTTGGTTCAAAGTAAATAAAGTATTTACCTTGCTGTATTTAACCCTCAAGTTCAAGAAATAACTTTCATTTCTGATATAGATAAGAAATGGAACAATGAGAGTTCAACCCTTAAAAGAATGTAGTTCCAACATTCAAAGGAGGGATTTTAAAACATTAATTTTAAGATATTAGAGTAGGGCCATAGAGATAGTACAGTGGGTAACGCACTTGCCTTTCACGTGGCTGACCCGAGGTTCAATCCCTGGCATCACAAAAGGTTCCCTGAGTCCTCCAGAACTGGTCCCTGAGCACAGAGCCAAGAGTAAGCCATGAGTACAGCAAGGTATGGCCAAAAAAATTAGAGTAAATGTTATTTTGAATTATTAAAGTATACAAGCGGAGCCTAGTGCTAGTAAATATTTACTGAATAACTGTACACTTAGTCAAGTATTTCTTTTAGGCAGGCACCAAGACTACAAATCCAATTTCGAGTGCCTTTTGTCTTCATATTAACCCTTGTCTAACATAATATTGTTAAACAGAAACCGGGTATCATGTTACTGAAGGACATGGAAAGAGTTTCTCTTATGAGATAAAAAATGCAAGCATGCTCTTCCTTTTAGTAACTGATAAATTCCAGACACTAGTCACTGGATTGAACTATATGAATAAGAACTTTTGAAATAGAAATTTTCAGAAACTCTCAATTCCATCCCACTATAGATTTTTGGTTACTTTTTATCCTGACTGAAAATTTGAGGTGGGAGGCATACCCAGTGGTGCTCAGGAATTACTCCTGGCTCTATGCTCAGGGATCACTTCTGACAGTCTGGGGTGGGGGAAGGAAGAAGGGGGGTGCATATAGAGTGCCAGGGATTAAACCAGGTCAAACGTTTTAAGGCAAATGCCTTATCTACTGTACTATCACTCTGTCCCCTGAAATTCTTATGTGGTTGAGTTCTTTTGTTTTTTTACTTACTAATCTGAAAGGACTCATGTCTTAATGTTTACTATTTTGCACTTAACAATTTGTCCTTTCGGAGGCTGGAGCAATAGCACAGTGGGTAGGGCATTTGCCTTGCACACGGCCAACCCGGGTTCGATTCCCAGCATCCCATATGGTCCCCTGAGCACTGCCAGGAGTAATTCCTGAGTGCAAAGTCAGGAGTAACCCCTGTGCATCGCCGGGTGTGACCCCCCTCCCCAAAAAAAGCAAAAACAATTTGTCCTTTCTTTATTCTCTACACAATAACCCTCCCAATTATCTTTGTTTATTTTTCTCACAGCTCTTTATTTTTCAACTCCTAGGTTATCCTGTTTTTCTGAGATATGCAACTCCATCCTAAATAAGAAATCTTCTATTAACTATTATAATTATGTGATCATTTCTCTTTACAAATTTCAGTTGTATGTGTTCTAAAATAATCTTTCAGCCATGGAAACAAAGAAGTATTCTCTTGCCGAGGAATAAAATTAGCAGTGGATTGGTTTTTGGAAAGAGGCCACAAAGACATCACAGTTTTTGTTCCTGCTTGGAGAAAAGAGCAATCCAGACCTGATGCTCTCATTACAGGTGAGCCCTGGTAGCTGTCTATTCTTAGCTTACATATACAGTTACCTGCACTATCAGGTATTGTTTGAACAATATATTAATCTCTTTCTATTTACTAAATCTGTTTAACTACAGTATTTTCTTGAATGGACACTAACAGTATTTTTGAAAGCTAATTAAATATTAGTCATTTCAGGATTTTTTTTCCCTCAATTGATTCAGAAATGCTTTACTTCAGAGTTTGTAAAATTCTGTTAGAGGCAACAAGTCAGGGAATCTAGGTTTACATGCATACGTGAAACCCCAGGTTCAATCCCTAGCATCTCCCCATGCACTGCTGTGTATAGTCCTCGTGGCTCCAAAGTACCAGTGGACTGGAGCAGCACCAAAGTGCCATTCCCACAGGGATTCTATAGGCCCATAGAGCTGAGTAGCTCTTGGAGTAGCTCCAGGCTCCCTGAACATTTCTTCGAAGCCATCACCAACACCCACCCCAAAAAAAAAATTCTAGCTTGGCCATTTACTAATCACAGAAATTTGAGCAGTATATACTAAACATCTTTAGACTCATACTTTCTTATCATATAAAATTAAACTAAGTAGCAATTAAAGTTTAGTGACCACAGATTTTTTTAAACTCTGTGAAACTCTGGTCATATGCTATCTGGGAAAATAACAATTCCAATAAAGTGCCTACATTTTGCATATTTTCCAATTTTTAAAAATGAGTTTCAGGCAAGGAACTCTGTTACTGCTAATTATCTTTGATGAACATTTGTACAAGGGCTCTCTCTAGTTCAGTAGTAATAAAAACTAAAAAAACTGTGAAGAGAACTACAACTTTTCAAATCAAAAACAAATGGAGAGGCAATCTTATTTTAAGACTTAATTTAAGACTTATTTAATTTAACTTAATTTAATTAGTTATTAAATCATTATTAAACCAACAAAAGACTCGATACTCAGGAAATGGCAGAATTCAACTAATGGTAACATCCAGAGCCATGAATTCAGTCCCTAGGTTATGAAAATCATGAAATGGGAGAGTCAGGAATAATGCAAATTCGACCATAGCACCAATACACCAGGTAATAACTATTTGGAACATCTATAAAAATAGACAAAGATGTATGACCACAGAGACGTCCAGGGCAATATTATTCTTAAAACAGACTATACTTTTATTATAAAACATGGTTTCTTAGACTAATATGTATTGCTGTGATAGAATACATTGGAATATATAAGCAGAATTTGAAGGAATGATACAGAGCTTCACAGATAAACAACAGTTCAGGAACTTCAAAAACTTGAAGCCAACTTTGCAAGAAGCGCTGAAAGGGATTCGTTGAGACGAGAGTAATCTCACAAATATACCTAACTTCTAGAGAAATATGGCAGAAAACTCCATGACAGTAATCTCACTCCATGTCAACTGCCTATATGCACCAATTAAAAGACACAAAGCAGCAAGATGGGACTAGAGTCCATGCTGCAGCCTAGTCAGGACAAACAGACTCAAAGCCAAAGGTTGAAGCAAGTAACTGGAAGCTAAAAAATGTTATCAGACAAAGATGGTCATCTCAAATTTTCTTTTTCGTTCTTTTTTTTTATTTTTGGTTCTATTTTGGGTTTTGGTTTTTAACCACACCCAGTGGCTTCTTGCTCTGAGTACAGGCATCATCAGTCCTGGCAGGTGGACCCTATAGAGTGTTACTGATTGAACCCAGATTAGCCATGTGCAAGGCAAGCACCCTTCCTACTGCATATCACACCAGCCTGCCAGATGGCCATTTTTTAATGATCATGGAATATGTACACTAGGAAGAACTCACACTCCTAAACATTTATGTAACAGTGAACTAAATCACAGCCAAATCAGGATTCAATAAGCTTTCCAACTACATAGGATAAAGGAACAAAATTAGCAAGATAAAATGCATTAATTGTAGAGGCCAGAGAACTAGTCCAGTGGGGTGCTTGCCTTATATGTGGCTGACACAAGTTTGATTCCCAGCATCCCATAAGTTTCCCCAAGCACCACGAGGAGTAATTTCTGAGTACAGAGCCAGAAGTAATTACCCCTGAGCACTGCCAGGGGTAATAATTTATTTAAAAAAATAAAAAGTAAAAAATAAGTTAAGTATTGGGCTGGAGCGATAGTACAGTGGGTAGGGCATTTGCCTTGCATGCAGCCAACCCGGGTTTGATTCCCAGCATCCCATATGGTCTCCTGAACACCGCCAGTAGTAATTCCTGAGTGCAAAGCCAGGAGTAACCCCTGTGCATCACCAGGTGTGACCCAAAAAAGCAAAAAAAAAAAGTAGTATTAACTATAAAAAGTAAGTCTATGTTGAGCATTGAAAAATAAAAGTGATTGGAGGAATAGGCTGGGAAGGGAACTGGAAGAGAGTGGGCACTCTTGAAGTGGTGGGTGTGTTGCTAGGATGATTTATACAAGAAGCCCCACCATTAGTAACCACAGTGCCTAAGATAAATATTTTTTTAAAAAAATAAGTGCAACAAAATATATAAAATGGATAGGCAGTCAATCACAAAAGAATATTAAAAATTCACTTAAAAATAATCTTTTTTTTTTTTTTTTGCTTTTTGGGTCATACCCGGCAATTCACAGGGGTTACTCCTGGCTCTTCACTCAGGAATTACTTCTGGCCATGCTCAGAGGACCATATGGGATGCTGGGAGTCAAACCCGGGTCGGCTGTGTGCAAGGCAAATGCCCTACCTGCTGTGCTATTGCTCCAGCCCTTAAAAATAATCTTGCACTAATCACACTACATGTTTGCCTTTTGATAGTACACATTATTAAATTGTAGTACCTAGAACCATATAGTCTCCTCATCTTTGCTTACGAGGCCATGATGGCTCAGTATTTATATTAATCCTGGGTTACCATCCCAAAGGGAAGAATTAACAAACTGGAGTTTTGCTGAAAGATAGTGAATAATATCATCATTATTTTATTCAATACTTCGACAGAATCATTCTAAGCATTTTATGCACCATAGTTGGCTACTGTTTTTTCAAAGCCTTTATTATTGAGAATCCCAGAGAAACAAATATTGGGAGTTACAAATATGCTTTTTGTACAAACTAAATTATAATTCCTAATTAAATAGACCTAGTTAATGTTATAAAAGCTCACCACTGCATGGAAGTTACTGTTTGTTTTTTATTTACATATATAAATGTGTATATGTGTATAAAAACACACATATATACACATATCAAGAAATATTAATTATTTTTGCAGATCAAGAAATTCTTCGTAAATTGGAAAAGGAGAAAATCCTGGTATTCACACCATCCCGGCGAGTCCAAGGGAGGAGAGTGGTGTGCTATGATGATAGGTTCATCGTGAAGTTGGCTTTTGAGTCAGACGGTATCATTGTGTCCAATGACAACTACAGGGATTTGGCCAATGAAAAACCAGAATGGAAGAAGTTTATTGATGAGCGATTATTAATGTATTCCTTTGTCAATGACAAGTAAGTAAAGCCATTTACTAACACTACTGTCTATGGCTTTCCTAAAAATAAATTTGTCTCATGCAGCTATGACAGAAGCCATGTCTTTTTGCCCCTCGCCAGACCTTAGCAGGCTTCTTCCGCCAGCTGATATCCCCAGTGATCCTCAGTGAAGTCGTGCCCCAGGAGGCCTGTGTGAGAGGTCCCTGTCCTTCTAAGCCACTATAGTCTTCTGAAATCGAGGAACCCATAGTCACTAAGAGAGGGAGAATTTCCATCTTCAAAGAATGCATCACCAGAATGTCATCTGAACCTACACAAGTGCTAGGGATGCCACAGGTGGAGCACTGCCATAAATGTGTGAGGTCCTGGTTTCACCACTGGTACTGAAAGAAAGAAAAATCTAATCTACTTAGAATGGATTTTTTAAAATGCTTTCCATCTACAATCCCTTTCTGCCTGAGAAACTTTTAGGTGACCACAGGTATATAAAACAGATATAAAAATCAAATATTTACTGGGTCAGAATCAACCTGGTTCAATTCCGCAGTACTCGATATGATTCCCTGAGCATTATAGGTGTGGCCAAAAACCCAACCCCAAACTCCCCTACAAAAAAAAAACAGAAATCAAACTCATAATAGTCATAACTTACTCATAATAAGTTTATTTTAAAACAGATTTTTAAAATTTTTCATGATCTAAATAAGGATTTAGTCCATAGTTTAAGAAGCTAGGACTTAAATAATCATTGAGGAGGAGATTTAGGGCCACACCAGCTGTGCCCAGTGCTTAGTCCTGGCTTACTCCATCGTGTGCTCCAAGATTACTCCTGGCTTTGTGCTCCGGGAACCAATGTATGCAGTGCTAGTGACTGAATCTGGGTTGACTTGCATACAAGGCAAGCAAGAACCTTACCCACTGTTCCTAGCCCTCTGTCCCCAATTTTTGCAAGTTCTACCAACCTATCACTCTAATTATAATTAAGTTCATAAATAAACAGATGACATGAACAAGCAAGCCTCATGAAAAGTAAGTGTATTTATAGATATATGGGATGGGGACAGCTTCCACACCCAACTTCTGGCATTTCAATGAGCCAGTTTCCTAGCTCCTGAAGTGTGCCGCTGCATATTCAATTGTGGGACAGCTCTTCATCAAATCTCACACTGCTCACAGTTATATACCCTATCACCGGGTGAAGACAGTCAGGAAAGGAAAAGAACAATTCCCAAACTAATTTCTCAGAGAGTCCCAGAGGGGCTATGCAAAGATTTACTCTCGGTGCAATGGAGAAAAATACAAAGCATGTCTTGCCCAATGACCAAAAACAATTCAGAAGGCTCCACTACCTCCAGCCAGCTCAGCAAATCCTCAGACACTAACTTCTGTGACACCATTGTGAGGATACTTAATGAGCTCAAAGAAATGATGGCACAGATGGAGAAAAGCAGGTTCTCTCTTGGTGGTTGTGGTGTTGGAATGATGTAACCATGAAAAGTATGAGTAGTGATACTGTAAATCCCAGTACCTAATACTGGGATACTGTGTATGACTTAGGCTGTTGAAGGTATGAGACAGTTTGTCATGGTTTAGCAGAAGCCTTGAAAATATGTATATCTGGGCCAGAACAATAGTACAGTGGGTAGGGTATTTGCCTTATATGTGACCAACCCAGGTTCAATCCCCAGCATCCCATATGGACCCTAAGTACTGCCAGGAGTAAATATATATATACATATATATACATATATATTATAATATAATTATTATCTTCCAGGCTTGCTCTTCAAGCCCATCTTCTCCCTTGAACACATATCTTTCTTATTTGTCCCTAGTTTCTTTGTTTGCCTATTTTCATTTTGCCTACCCTCATCTTTCTAAATAAGTTTAAGTAAAAACGATCTTGTTTCCCAAAAAAGAAAAATATATTTGTATATCCTTCGATTCTATGATGACAAGGGGAATGTCATATGTTGGTTTTTGTATTTACAATTAAGAATTCAAAGGAAACCAAAGGAAACGATGCAGGTAAGGTGCTTGCCTTGCAGGCAGCTGACCAGTTCATATGGTCCTCCAATCATCACCTGACCACAGAAGCCAGTAATAAGTCCTGAGCACCACCAGCTGTGGGCCCCACCTCCACCAAAAAAAAAAAAAACCCACCTTGACTTACTAGTTTGTTTGTTTGTTTTTTAAGGTTACTATTTTAATCCTATACTTTTCTTCCATGTAGCCACATGGACAATGCATATCAAAGCACTTTAAGTAGGGGAAATAATACTCAAATATTAGCTTCTATTTAGAAAGTTGGCTTTATCTTAAGTTTTGACCGGGTCAAATAAAATTAAAGTGTCAGTTTCAGAAACTGGATCATCACTTTCTACTGTGAAGGCAAAGTCTTACAAAACCTTGACTTACGGTTTTTTGGGTTTTTTTTTTTAATCTTACAAATGTTGAATCAGGATACTTAGATTAAAATTTCAAAAAATATTCTTAGTGAATGAATTCTATGTCCTATTATTAGAATTAAGTTATCAACCTACTAATAATTCTGCATTATATCTGTTAGATTCATGCCCCCTGATGACCCACTTGGCAGACACGGCCCAAGCCTGGATAATTTTCTGAGGAAGAAACCTATTATTCCTGAACACAAAAAGCAGCCTTGTCCATATGGTAATTTTCTTTATGAATATTAATAACTGCCTTTACAAAACAATATATTAAACTTTTGTAATAAAAATACATACGTTTATGACATAGCATATGATTATTTTGGTTGTAATTTATAAAAAAATGTCTGGGTCATGAAAAAAATTCTTAATTTTACCTATGCATGTTCACCATTATTTTTGCCTTAGTGGGGTTCGATACATTTATTTCCCTGAATGAAAATATGGTCACAAAAACTCAATTACTTGCTCATAAATTTAAATTTCTAGAGGATAAAAACTGGATTTTTTTTATGTCCAATTATATCTTACCTGATTGTAAAGTCATAGTAGAAGAGAAGAGGAAGGTACCAGGGTTCAGGACACAGGGTATTAGCCAAACATCTTTGGAGGTGAATATTAAGCATGCAGCCAGCTTTCAGGTTTGTTGTATCAAAGTGGGAAGACTGAAAGGATGTGGTATTTTCCAAAAGCAAGGTGTAGAGAAGCACTTAGCATATCTCCCATTCTGCCATTATTTCTTTTACAAGTTAAAATAGTAGTGCCAAACTGAGTTATCAGGATCTATTAGTATGGTCCTTGACTGAATTAATTTTACTTTTCATAGGAAAGAAGTGCACCTATGGACACAAGTGCAAATACTATCATCCTGAAAGGGGGAGTCAACCTCAGCGATCAGTGGCTGATGAACTTCGTGCCATGTCTAGAAATACAGCAGCCAAAACTGCAAATGAAGGAGGACTGGTGAAAAGCAACAGTGTTCCCTGCAGTACAAAGGCAGACAGCTCCTCTGATGTTAAACGAGGAGCTCCAAAGAGGCAATCGGATCCAAGCATAAGAACTCAAGTCTACCAAGACCTAGAGGAAAAGCTTCCCACCAAAAACAAATTGGAAACCAGGTCTGTACCTTCCTTAGTCAGTATACCGGCTACTTCTACTGCAAAACCCCAAAGCACTACATCTTTAAGCAATGGCCTTCCATCTGGAGTTCATTTCCCACCTCAGGATCAAAGACCACAGGGACAATATCCTCCAATGATGATGGCAACCAAAAATCATGGAACGCCAATGCCTTATGAACAGTATCCAAAATGTGACTCTCCTGTTGACATTGGATATTATTCCATGTTGAATGCATACTCAAATCTGAGTATCTCAGGCCCACGAAGTCCTGAAAGGCGTTTCTCCTTAGACACAGACTATAGGATAAGTTCTGTAGCTTCTGACTGCAGCAGTGAAGGGAGCATGAGCTGTGGGAGCAGTGACTCATATGTAGGGTACAATGACCGGTCGTATGTCAGTTCTCCTGATCCCCAACTAGAAGAGAATTTGAAGTGTCAACACATGCACCCTCACGGCCGCCTTAATTCCCAACCCTTCCTGCAGAATTTCCACGACCCCTTAACTAGAGTGCAAAGTTACAGTCATGAAGAACCAAAGTACCATCACAAACCTCCTCTTCCACATTTGGCTATGCATCTACAGCACCCAGCTGTGGGCGCCCGGTCCAGTTGTCCTGGCGATTATCCCTCTCCTCCAACTTCCACACACTCGAAGGCACCACATCTAGGGCGGTCCTTGGTGGCCACCAGAATAGACAGCATTTCTGACTCTCGGCTGTATGACAGTTCTCCTTCAAGACAAAGAAAGCCTTACTCCCGCCAGGATGGGCTGGGAAGCTGGGACAGGCAGGGGTATGGGATTGATGCATATGGCTATCGGCAGACCTATTCCTTGCCTGATAACTCCACCCAGCCATGTTATGAACAGTTCACCTTCCAGAGCCTACCTGAGCAGCAGGAGCCAACCTGGCGAATACCGTACTGTGGAATGCCACAAGATCCTCCCAGGTATCAAGACAACCGAGAAAAGATCTACATCAATCTGTGCAACATCTTCCCACCTGACCTTGTGAGAATTGTCATGAAAAGGAACCCTCACATGACTGATGCCCAGCAACTAGCTGCAGCCATTTTGGTAGAGAAATCACAGCTGGGTTATTGAAAGATGATGCATCTTTGTGGTGTTTAGTAGTTTTTTGTTCAGCTCAAATGCTGAGGGAGGTTTGCTACAATAGCACATGTGATCTCCTTCTCAGCAAGGAGGTTATATAGTATCCATTTATGTGAAATACTGTATCATGGAATCTGTATGTATAGCCCCACATGGCAGAAGTATCACGGATTGCTTTACATTCAAACTTTTTTTTAACATTTCCTTTTTAAAGCTATATCCTTGGCTGGAAATTTTTCCAGTTTGATTTAATAGATGTTTCTGTGATCTTTGATATTAATCTTTGGTGCATCAGGGGTTTATAATGCAGCACTTTTTATCTTTGTTTCATGTTTTATTAACTTGGTGTTTGTCTATCAATAGCAAGCAATTAACAATACCTTCAGAATGTTGAACATTTTACTAGACCTAGCAAACTATTTTTTCAAGCCAAGCTTCATGGAATCTTTTACAGCTTTTTAAGTTATTTTTATTTGGGGAAAGTGGGCTTCTTTGTGCTATAATCATTATTTATAGAAACAAAGATAAACTACAGCACTGACTTTATATTTTAAACAAAATATAAGTTACCAGTTAATGTTGAAATGAGTAACAGTATATATTAGAATGATTTACAATATGGCACTTTTCATTGTTTTTTGTTTGAATTTTTTAAGTATTGGTTAATTTAATATGGTTGATTTAGAGGAAAGCAGATGCAATCAATGGAAAAAAGTTTCCATTTTTTTATGAATAAGGCAAAAGCCGTTAACTGTTACAGTTTAGAGCTTTGTTATCCAGCTATGATGTGCTTCTGACAGTAAACACGGAATTGAATTCCTAGATTCCCATTAACTTGTATTTTTAATGTGTTTGTCTTTTTGTTTGGGGGCACAAAAGTACTGGATAAAATAACCCTTTCACAGTACCTGCCTGTTTTTTAATGAATCTAATTATTCTCAATGCAACTTTTATATTTAATATACTCTAGCTTTCCTGCTATTTATCAAGGCTGGCCTGCAGTGGTTTTCTGTGTTGAGGATATGCAACATTTATTGATACTGCACTATAGATGGAGGAGTTGTGTAAATGGTAACTTAAAACTTTTGTAAGATACTGTATATTTTCCATTTTCCTGAAGGTAGTTTTTTCGGGGGCCTGTTATATTATTAAGGCCAGATTCTTGCCACAAATAGTGTAGTTTTAGATGCAGACTAAAGTCTGTTCTAGTATTAGTAAGGGATATTTCTGGTTTCAAAGTCATGGGTTTTGCTAGATGTGATTTCATTTTTGTTAGAAGACAGATATTTTGATCAATGGCAGACAGTTGAGTGATTGACATAATTTCACTGTTGCCTCCAGTTTTTTAATTAACTTAGTGTAACAGACTCACTGCAGTGTTTCTCTAGTCTGCCTAGATGCCCGGGTAATAATGACTATTCTACATGCTACAGTTTGAAGTAAAGCCCTGAAATACCAGAAAGTACCTTTTACTGTTGATACAAATTGTATCTTTTTAACTATAAGAAATATTTTGATTTGTAGATCTAGTTAAAACACAAATGTGTAACTATGATTAGACTTTTGGGCAACATTTTATCCCTTATTTAAATACAAATTTTTGAAGTAAAATTGAAGTCTAGAATAGGGTAGAAAATAAAAGTAACAATTTAGGTAAATACGAGTGTCTGTCTTAGTTTTATATATTAAAATACATTCAATAAATTTATTGGCATTTTCTTTCCCCTAAAATTTATCTAGTGTTAACTTAAAATAAAGGTAAAATGCTGCCTGAAAATAATGTCCAAGCACCTTTGACTAGGATAACATTTTCACTACTTGTGTGACACTGTGTGTTGCATGAAGTAGGATTTGGGTATACAGTAAATGCTTCTAAAAGGCATTGTGCATATTGACATATCCAATAATCTGAACCGTGTTCAGCAAACTTAATTCAGGAAAGTGGTGTTCTATACAATTATTGCTGTTGTTTTTGAGGAAGTGTGGCACCAAGCTGTACCCACAGAATAAAGAGGTTGCCACACAAACCCATCTGAGTGGTGTTTGTCTGAGAGGGACCCTACTCACTTGTGATATTGTTCTTGATTTTGTCTTCACTACCTGTAGAACAAATTTAGATGTATAGGCTAATCCAGTGCCAAACAGAGAGTTATAATGTGTAGTAGCTTTTATTCTAATTATTCTAAGACTTTTTTTTTAGTGTAAATCATTTGAAGTTTCAAACTTGGCTTCCATTTTCTAAATTTAGCATTTTAATTATTTAAAGGTTTTGCCAAATATTACTAAAGTTACTTAATGAGCTCTTAGGTGAGTACATCACACCTTGAATTTCACCTTCTAATGTTTTAACTGTCTGTCATTACTTCATTCCATGGATTTTAGATCATGGAAAAATAGAGCTTTCTGCCACCTGTCCTGAAATGAATAGCTCTGAACAACCTTTGCTGAAATTTTTCAGTATAACTGAGTTCAAAAGATAGCAGTTTGGTGGCCAACTTGGGTTCAATCCTCAGCATCCCATGTAGTCCCCTAAGTACACTAGGAGTGATCCCTGAGCACAGAGTCAGGAGTGGCCTAAGCACTGCCAGGTGTGTTCCCTCCCCCCAAAAAGTTAAAATTAATAAAAGATATAATTTCTCTAATGCCAAATGAACACTCTGTTCCTTTTCTTTTTCTTTTTTTAACACCATTGTTTTCAGAGCTCATGAACCAAAACCGCTATTTAAATAGAAAAAACTTTTATTTATCTAAAGCAATAAATGAAAGAATCCATCATTAAAATTCATAGCTGACCCCAACTTTTGTTTAGCTAAAAACTAACCCCTAATTGTATGTTTTACCAGACCTGCTAATAAGTAACAGAAGAGAGGTACATTAGTAATTGGTAAAATTGCCAGAAGTGGCAAACTAATAGAAAAGAAAGGATTCAGATTGGAATTTTGCCCCTGAATAAGTGACAGTTGACTGTACTTTACACAGTAATTCGCCAGTTCGTTGTCTCTGTGTCTTAGTACAGAGGGAATAGTACACAACTGGCCAAATACTGGCCCTTAGTATTTCTTCCTTACTTGCATGTGATATGTAAGTTTCCAGTCTCCTTTTTTATGATCTCTATATCCTAATAGTTTGTCATTGACCTAAAGAAATGCACACTAGTATAAAATATTTGATACTGGTGGAAACTTGAACTTTATGTTTTGTGAAAATTCATTTATGAGAATATGTAATATAACTAAGAGCATTTATACATACATACATACATGCCTACATATTTGTTATGAAGTATTAAAAACTGGGAGGGTATGAATTTTTTGCTAGTTAACTTTCCACAATGGACCTGTTTTTCTGAGTTGTGGCTGACCAAGTCTGAGTGTGGATAACCAATGATAAGACTTAGAACCACTTGAAAAGAAAGCAATTCTTCACTGGTTTTATTCCTAGTATTTTAAAGTATTTTGATAATTTTAATAGAATGTGTAATTTTAAAACACAAAACCTTAAAAGTAGCATTAACTATATAAATAATTATTTAACATGTCTTTTATGGATGTATCTATATGTATATAGACAGTAATATATTTATGAAACAAATATACTTTTGATGATATTGTAGCTACTAGTTAGTGATGGATAGGAGGGTGGCTCTGGACATGGATTGAAAACTGCAACAGTTTTTTCCTTGATTTAACGACATTTGCCCTAAGGCATATTTGGTTTACAGTATACTTTTCTATCCAACTTCCTTATTCTAAATAAGATAAACCATTTTCTGACCATTCTGTTATTCCCTATGAACAGAATTTGTTTTATCCATGTTATTCTTATTGAATAGTCCTGGATAATTCCTAAGAAACTGCAGTCAGATTTTTCCAGGAAAAAAAATCCTTATTACAAAACTTTATAGATAGGAATTCAGATAGGACATTGAGCTCCTCCAATATACATCAACAAATAAGATGAAATATGAAATACATGAACTACATTAGAATAAGAGAAGGCAGAATGTTAATAAAAGTAAAGAAACAGCCATTAGATTTATCTTAAAAATGCATTTGGCTAAGAGTTTACAAATGTTTTCTGTAAAGATTAAATAGTAATTCAGGCTTCAAGTACCATGTGGTCTTTAAGACTATTCACCTCTGCCCACATGAAATGAAAGCAGCCATCAGCAATATGAAAGTGAATGGATGGATGTGGCTGTCTGCCAATAAAGCTTTCTTTACAAAAAAGTCAGCTGACCTGGTTTGGCCTGTTGACCAGTTTGTTGACCCATGCTCTGGAGGGAAAGGAACTGGTTATTAAGCAGCAAATCCTGAAATAAATATAAGAACTAGCAATTGTATTTCAGTAGACTTTCAGAGAATATCTATTAGTTATTGCTGGTATTTAAAATATTTTGATAGTCATGTTAAGCATTTAATTCATGTGTTTTTTACCTGATCACTCCCTTTACTTAGTAGAGATTTCTTGTTTGGTCATGCCAAAAAGGATTCTGTGAAAGATGTTTTAATAAATATTGATATTTCTTCCTGAATTTTGTATTTCTATTGATAAGAGGGAATATCCCTTACCTACCTTTGTTTTTGAAGAATCTCTTAGATTTTTTTAAAATCCTGTGCAATCTGAGTATTAAAATATAACCAAAAATATTTCAGAGACTTAATTTATCAATTACATTTTTCTGCCGAATTTTTTATTTCTTAAAAATAACATCTGCCCTTCTTTAAAATGGTTTTAAAGAAGATACTTTGTAATTTCATATACTATAGCTTTATTCTGTAAGATTAAAACTGTGAGTGGAGTAACTGTAAGCTGTAATATGAGTGTATTTGCTGTATTGTGACTCTCTGTAAGAAACAGTGTATCACTACTTTCTCTGTCCAAACCTCTACTGTAGATATTTTTATACACCTTAGGACTGTCAGTGGTGAATAGTATTCTTGACATGATCATGTGTAATTTTTAATTCATTGGAAATACACACTGCTGAGCATGTTTATTCACAGTGCTTTATAAATTGTGTTAACACAGTAACATTTCCACAAGTACATTAAATAGTTTTGAATATTACGACCCACTTAAGTAGTTATGCTTTCTTTTAAATTGGAATAGGACTCTAATCTTTTATAGTGTTTACTGTTTTGAATGGTTATTTATTAAATTGTGTTAAACTGCTTTTTTATTTCTATTATATCTTAGAAGTAGCTTTTTCACTAAGGTCCTTAGGCTTTCAGATTTTAAAACAATATTAAGAACCACTTAGCACTTCTTAAAAATCTGTGCATGTTTTAGTTTTATGAAATTTGTAAAATTTTACTCTTTAAACCATGTACCAAATTTGCCAATTTCCTGTCCAGATATTTCAAATGAATAACATTTTCCATTTATTAAAGTTTTTGACCCTTTCTTAAGGCAGTTTTTGTCTCAAGGATAAAAGAACTGGAGAGCACTGATTTGTTTTTATAAGAAAAATGTTTTGGGTTTCAGTTTTTTTCAAATTATAAATTTCCTACCTAATTTTGAAACAGACATTTCTGCAGAGATCACATTACAAATAAAGCAGCTTGATGATCATATCTTTTCCTTTTAAGTTTTTTCTCCCAGAATTAATTATATGCTGATAGTTGAGTTTCCACCATGGTCCTTTCAGACTTAAAAGACAAAGATATATTTGAGATCCTAGTTGATAAACTGATGTGATTTATCTTTGGTATGTGTGTTTCTATGATTTCTATAACTCCCAGAAAACAATAACTAGAAATCATATCAAAACAGCAATGTGATTCTGCCAGTGAGAAAAAATATTAAATTTCATTTTTCAGATGGTTGTTTTAGTTTGCTGAAGAAACTGACCCTCATGCAGCAGTACAGATGCTAAATAAATAAAAGCACCCTCTAACCTCTAACCTAAGGCTTGCCTGCATTGAATCAATTATTTAAATCTGAATCTTCTGTGTGACATTATTTAGTGTATTAGTCCTCTAATAATTCCTGTGAAGTACTTACTCTTCTAACAATTTTCTAACAGTGATTTAACCTAAGCTGTTCTGGCTTTGCTGTGAAGTGGAACTGCTCCACCTCCCAGGACATCATGAGGTCAAAATGTACACAGATATTTCTAATTTTCTGTAACTCTTCTTGCATGAGTCTATATCTTAAGTAGTAAGAACTTAATATCTTACTAATACCTCTCTTGAGTTGGCTCAAATTCCTTTTCTCATGCCCTCCGAGGAACTGAATTTGAAATACGGCCACAATTCTGGGTTGGGCAGCTGGAAAGATGGTACAGCTTGCCAGAGGCACTTGCCTTACCTGTGGCTGACCCAGGTTTGATCCCCAACACCCCAGATAGCCCTCCAAGCCCTACCGGGAGTGATTCCTGAGCACTGTCTGGTGTAGTGGCAAAAAAAAAGAATTCTGAGTTGGTCTAATGATTATCATAATGTAACTATGATTCTATGTGAGTGATAACACTTTTTATTTTAGTTTCCCTCTTTATGAGTTTTCAGACTTTTGCTTATCTTTTTCCTAAAATCGCTGTTGGCCATGTTCAGTCCTCACCCCTCCTGCACAACCTCACTTTTCCTTACCCCGCACCTCCATCCCGCTTATCCTAAATTATTTAAATTAACAAGGGATTTTATTGAATAACAGAGAACTGTAGCACTGTCCTCCCGCTGTTCATCAATTTGCTCAAGCGGGGCACCAGTAACGTCTCCATTGTGAGACTTGTTACTGTTTTTGCCACAGGGAGCTTGCCAGGCTCTGCCGTGCAGGCAGGATACTCTCGGTAGCTTGCTAGGCTCTCCGAGAGGTGTGGAGGAATTGAACCCAGGTTGGCTGCGTGCAAGGCAAACGTCCTACCTGCTGCTCCAGCCCAATAGAGAACTAGCAGTCAGAAAACTTAATCCATCCAAAGTCACTCTCTGATAAGGGAGAATGAGTCGAGAATCCAGGAGAACATTAGCTTGGGCTTCAAGGGTTACTTGAAGCTAAAATAAATACTTCTCCCCCACTTTCCACCTTTGTCTAAAGAAAAAGAAGTCACACACACACATGGATGAAACAGTGATGTTTGGGAAAGGGGGCGGGGGGACTAAAACAGTAATCACAGTGGTGAATTTATTTAAAACAAAATACCTAGAGTTAATTGGGCCTCATTAGCTAAACATTTATACTTATAAACATCAGTGTCTTAGGCTCAGATGGAAATTTTGGGTTTGGTGTTTGGGCCACACCCAGCAGTGCTTAGAGCTTACTCCTGGCTCAACACTCAGGAGTTACTCCCTGTGGGACTCAGAAGACTAAATAGTGTACTGGGCATCAAACCCAAGTTAGCTG